AGACAACGGTAAACGTGCTATTGCATGTTTTTATGGTAAAAAGTCGTCGTTGAAGAAAATGCATTTACATGGCCATATACCACTGAATAAAATGCGCGATAAATGCTAACAGTAAAAAGACATTGTTTCCATATAATGCAATTACTGGCTGTTTGGCCAAAAAAACTAAAATGAATGTTATTATAAATTTTGCTAAAAATATTTGTGCAAGAATTTGGCGCATTCAATATCGTAAGTTCTTTCCTTTTTAGGACGTTTTGTTTTGTATGAATTTGTCAGAGATCGTGTATTCTGCTTCTTTAGCTTGGGAACGGCTCACTTGAATTTGCATGTGCGTACATGAATTGTTTGCGGCGGTGGCTCAGAGGTTATGAGATGAGAGTACCATTTGGTACTTTGCTAAACGTGTAAGAATGAATAAGATAAAGTTTTGGCATCGCAGGTGAAAAATTCACAACTCTCCGAAATCTGGCGAAGAAAACATTTCTACAAACATAATTGGACTCCGTACAAATAAACGGACCCGCATCGCACAACTCTGCACTCAGCCAATAACCGTTAAACAAAATATATGCGATCTTACAAGTGTAAACCACCTGAGTGAGTGATTAAATGAGCAACCTTTTGCCTCAATGATTTCGGCCTCCTTTGTATAGTTTCGTACAAATCCCTCTTTGCTGCGTACACACTCTTATTCTTTGATTTCCCCTCTATTTAACACCTCATCCTGCTGCAATGTTGGTACATTTGTGCCCTAAGAGGGAACTTCCTTACCCTCGCATTTGCCCATGCATCATCTGAGTATGTTCGAATATCTTCCTTCAAGGCTATTGCAAATTTGGTTATACATAGTTAGTTACTGAGAGATTCCTGGGTCAGGCATTGGAAATTACTCCTTTGAAATTACTGATCTATACGCCATCTTCCATCCTGGAGTCAAGACTAGCACTTTGTTGGCGCAGTTGATCAAGAAGCCTATTAACGACCGCTTGAGAGGAAAGTCTGCTGCAGCAAGAGTACTCGTGGATATATTTGAGCTAGACTCCAGTGTAAGACAGGCCAAAAGATCTTATAATTGCCTCCACCTGGTCGAGAATTGTAGGATAGAGCTGCCAGTCTACTGGTGCGAAGACGATCAACATTCACTACACATTGGTAACCTCGACGTAA